GCTCGGCCTTGGGGTCGCTCGCCGCCCGCGCAGCGCAGCGCGGAGCCGAGTGGAGCAGCCCCGCCGCCGCCTCCAGCCCACCTGCAGGCAGCGCGCTGGGCTGCGGGGCAAGCGGGCATCGCACTGCTCTGTGCCTGGGTGTTTTGGGGTTCGTTGCCCCCCTCCCCCCTTTCCCCCTGCTTTTTTTTTTTAATAGGTTTGGAGAGAGATGTTAACTCTGATAACAGTTTCTTGGATCATTAAAACGTCGCGTGTAGGCAAAGGCGGTTAGCTGCGAAGACGCTGGCTGTCATGAAAGACGCGAAGTGTGAAATCATGCCTCTCCTTTTGTGGAGCAGGCTATTTTTATAGTGCGGCGGGGGTCTTGCTTCAAACGCTTCAGTTGTTGTGAGATCATTGTGCCCTTATTCCCGAAGCCCTGGCAGCTCTGGAGTAAACTGCGTTTTTCATTCTTTAGGATAACGATAAATGTGAGGCAGAAAGGACGTCTTATTAGAATTACTCTTTAGGATGTTGGAAAGATTGCAGAATTAGAGTGTTGCTGTTTGCTCCAGTTGAAGACGTGTCAGTGTTTTCGTGATGAAAACCCCTTTTCTAAGACTTGGGAGCTGTCACTGAACTTGTGCATGTTTTAATTTGGTATTCCGAGGCTTGCACTAAAACCAGGTGATTTCTTCTTGAGGCTGGGATTTGTCTCTGTAGATGGTGGCATGCTCTGCACTTCGAAGAGGGTGGTGGTGCTTGGGTAAATTGACTTCTTCAGGTATGTAAATACTGAAACTTGAGATAATTGCTTTTGATGAGATGGATAGAATAAAATGATTAAGATAGCGTGTTAAGCAGTTGCCTATCGGGCTGATGTAGTTTTAAACCGCTGTTGTAGGAGGCTTTGCGTATGGCAGATAGAAATTAAATCCCACTTCAGAGATGAGCTTGTTCTTTTGCAAATCTGCATTGCCTTTTGTATCCACCTGCCTGGGCCCCGTCGCTAGGATCTGGGCGCCTGTGCAGCAAAATGGATCAGTGCCGTACTTCTCTGCAGTGTATCGAACCTGTGCTTCCAGCATCATTTTTCACGTTTGACTGTCCAGCGTCACAGGCTGTTGTGAAGGTGCTCTGCAAGAAATGGAAGGAAGCCATGTCTTCCATGGGAAAGTAGAGGGTTGCAAATCAGGATCACAGGTCTCTGCCTCTAGTTTTCCTGTTAGTCTGCTCTGTAATACTGGACAAGCCATTTGAACAGAGGTACGTTTATACATTGAGCTGTCAGACGGGCAGAATTGTCCCTAGTGATGCTGCAGATAGGGTGGTGGTTGGCGTGTTTAGAGATCCTTTGCAGAAGTGCTCCACAAAAGCAGAGGTTGCGTTACCGGGCAGTGCTGGGCAAGGCTGCTCTGACTTGCGCATCAGCAACTACGTTTTGTGAGAACTTTCACATTTGCGAGGACTGGATGGCGAAGGTGCACGCAGCAGGCAGACGGCTGATGTACACGCTGTAGAAGACGGATCCCAACTGGTTGATCGTCAGCGCTTGTTTATGCCTGCGTATCTCACACTTGGAAACGTGGTGCTAGGGCCGATGTTCTTAGTCCTTTCCTTGCCTGGGGACGCATCTCCTGGCATTACCGCCACGCAGGCTTCCAGGACGCGTTCATGATGGAGGTGGGTCGCCCTCCTCTCCCCCGTTCTTTGCTTTCCGTCAGTCGCTGTGCAGGGAGTGAACGTTGGCAGGTCTCTACCGAGCTGGGCATGAAGGAAAGTTAGAGATATCACACGAGCCGTTAGCAAGAGTAACGGTCCAGATCCCGATAAATAAGACGTTGCCATGACACTGCCAATACTCTGCGTATGTGGAAATCCTGGTAAAAGTTTGACGCTGTAGAAGACCTCAGAGATTCGTTGAAATTACTGACTGTAATAAAATCACCACACTGTATAGCAGTCTTGTGCATCTCTTTCTGTGTGTGCGTAATTAACAACAAAAAGAGCTGAAACTGAAGCTCCCCATAGGGGATGCATAGTGTGGAGTACGTGGCAGAAGTTGCTCACCCGTTCTTATTTTAACTTTCTTTGCTTGATTGTTCTGTTCTCAAGTGCAATGGCTGTTTTTCTTAACAGGGCTGCAGTATGATTGCTAATTAATTATTTTCCTGAACATTTTCTCTGAAAGTATCTCCAGCCATGAAAAAATGTCTACAGTCGCATCTTTTTGAAAAATGGCAAGAAGAATAAAAAGAGGTGTTCTGTCATTGTGTGTCTGTGGCATTCTTTTTGGGCAGGACTTTACGTATGTGTAGCTAGAGAGACCTCTCGGGGTGCAGCTAACAAACGCTTTTAGCACTAAGCTGAAAAATGAGATGTATATCATTATTAGTATTTGTGAGATAATAATTAGAGTGGTAATTTTATTTTTATATAAACCGTCTTTATAAAAACTGTATAATGAACTATGGGTGAAAATTGAATAGCATTTATTGTGTGATATGTGAGCAGCCTCTTGTGATTTTAATTCAAGTAGTATGAACGCAATTTATATATTCAAATGAAAATGTATGTGCCTTTTACTCAAAGGAATGCTCACTGAATCGTTTCTCGGTTTACCAGTTGCACGAACATACCTGTAGTGCTCGGCAAATCTGCCTTGCATTTGAAGGCATGCACGCTTCCATCCTTCGTCTCTCGATCTGGGTTTCCATCCCTATTAATTTTGGGTGTGATTGTTGCGTGTTAGTGGTTTCTGGAGTGAAGTGTATTAGGGGAAATTTACCAGGTGTTCTGTTAGCGTGTTGAAGAAAATTTGGA